GGAAGTGGGAGACAAGCCAGCTGGGAACCCGACCACAAGCACCCAGCTTGGGAGACAAATGAAAAGAAGTGGAAGACAAATCCACAAGCACCCAGCCTGGGAGACAAGAGAAAAAACTGGGAGACAAATGAAAAGAAGTGGGAGACAAATGAAAAGAAGTGGGAGACAAATGAAAGGAAGTGGGAGACAAGCCAGCTGGGAACCCGACCACAAGCACCCAGCCTGGGAGACAAATGAAAAGAACTGGGAGACAAATGAAAGGAAGTGGGAGACAAGCCGGCCGGGAACCCGACCAGACCATCCAGCACCAAGGCGACCATTCTTTAAAGCATTGAGAACCCCTAACAGTAAACTGTTTGGGGAAAAAATAAGAATTACACCACCGTAGACCCCAAACAGTTTGTGTTTTTCAAAATCGAAACTAGAGCTTGCGACGTCCAGAGCTGGGAGATAAATGTAAAGGATTGCAAGGCAGAGACGGACATAGCAATACAAAGCGGGGGGACACATCTTAAGAAAGAAGTGAGAAGCCCTAACAGTAAACCTTTTGGGGAATTATTCTTCAAGCGCGAACATGATGCTGGTCACGCTGCTCAGTCAGCGGGGAGCTGACCACGTGAGGACAAGAAACAAAAGCATGAGGAGCGAAGGATGTGACATGAAATTGATTTTTGGTGCCTGACATATGCCCTCCGCCCCAACTGAATAGAGAGATCGCTGCCACGCCGCCGAAATCCAATCCGGTCATTCATCCAACGGTTGCCCGAGAAGGAAAACAAAGCTGAGAGAGTTACACAGTGTGGCAGGAATGCAATCCCGGAGACAGTCACGCACCCCTTGCAAAGGAGCAAGAACCTTTCACAGGCGAACCTGTTCCAGCGGACAGGGCAGAAAACAGCAGTGCAGGCACCAAACCTGAAAGACAAAAAGAAAGAAATCACATGGGAGACAAATGAATAGAAATGCTACATGGCCAGCGGAAAAGGGCGGCAGCACCAGTGACAGACCCGGGAAACAAATTAATAGAAATGCTGCATGCCCAGCGGAAAAGGGCGGATACCAACAGTGACAGACCTGGGAGACTAATGAATAGAAATGCTGCATGGCCGACGAAAAGGGCGGACACCAGCAGTGACAGACCTGGGAGACAAAACACTGGCAGTGACAGACCTGGGACACAAATGAATAAAAATGCTACATGGCCAACGGAAAAGGGCGGACACCAACAGTGACAGACCTGGGAGACAAATGAATAGAAACAGCGGAAAAGGGCGGACACCACCAGTGACAAGCCTGGGGGACAAATGAATAGAAATGCTGCATGGCCAGCGGAAAGGGGGGGAAATTAGCAGTGACAAAGACAAATGAATAGAAATGCTACATGGCACCAGCAGTGACGGACCTGGGAGACAAATGAAGCATTTCTGGGAGATAAATGAAAAGAACCGGGAGACAAATGAAAGCAAGTGGGAGACAAGCGGGCCGGGAACCCGACCACAAGCATTTCTGGGAGATAAATGAAAAGAACCGGGAGACAAATGAAAGCAAGTGTAGGGCGGGAACCCGACCACAAGCACCCAGCCTGGGAGACAAATGAAAAGAAGTTGGTGACAAATGAAAAGAAGTGGGAGACAAATAAGAGGAAGTGGGAGACAAGCCGGCCGGGAACCCGACCACAAGCAGAAAAGAAGTGGGAGACAAATGAAAGGAAGTGGGAGACAAGCTGGCCGGAAACCCGACCACAAGCACCCAGCCTGGGAGACAAATGAAAAGAAGTGGGAGACAAATGAAACGAAGTGGGAGACAAGCCGGCCCGGAACCCGACCACAAGCACCCAGCCTGGGAGACAATGAAAAGAAGTGGGAGACAAATGAAAGGAAGTGGCCTGGGAAACAAATGAAAAGAATTGGGAGGCAAATGAAAGGAAGTGGGAGACAAGCCAGCCGGGACCCCGACTGAAAAGAACTGGGAGACAAAGGAAGTGGGAGACAAGCCGGCTGGGAACCCGACCAGACCATCAGTAAACTGTTTGGGGAATGAAAAGAAGTGGGAGACAAATGAAAAGAACTGGGGGGCAAATGAAAGAAGTGGGAGACAAATGAAAGCACGTGGGAGACAAGCCAGCCGTAAACCCGACCACAAGCACCCAGGGAGACAAATGAAAAGAAGTGGGAGACATATGAAAGGAAGTGGGAGACAAGCCAGCCGGAAACCCGACCACAAGCACCCAGCCTGGGAGACAAATGATAAGAAGTGGGAGACAAATGAAAAGAAGTGGGAGACAAATGAAA